TTTTTTTTTTTTTTTTTTTTTGCATCAGGAATTGAACTCAGGACCTTGCACTTGCCAGGCAGGCACTGTGCCACCAAGCTATTTCCCTGGCCCACTTCTTGCTTTTTACATATTTTATTTCCAAAATTTCAAAGTGTTGAGATGTTCTAAAATAAAAATATACAGTACATTATATTTGCCTAATACTCAAATGTTTAATTGATCATATTATCAAAGGGTAGGCATTAGTAATCCGTTATTGTCTACTGAGTGGCTGCATGGTCATTTCACATACAAAGAAACTTGTATTTTCAAGGATCTATGACTTGCCAAACTTTAGTATACATTTGCTGAATAAACTATCTGCCAACAAGTCTAATACTTTTTCCACTATGTTATTTCATAAAGATTTAGTATAAAGACTTTTTCTTTAATAATGTGCTTGTATATTACCATAAAAGTATTCAATCTAATATATACTGAACTATTAATTGTTATTGGGGGAGAAGGAGGCAGGGTTAAGGTGGATTTTTTAGGGGAGGTACCAGGAATCAAACTCAGGACCTTGTGATTGCCAGGAAGGCACTTAATGCCACTGAGCTATATCCCTGGCCCAAGGTGGATTTTTATTTCTATAAAGTCTGAAATTTTTTTTAGTAGCATATATCAACTTAAGAAATGCTTTTAGTTTTTTTGTAAGATTGTATATTATGATCTTTCTAATACAGTAAAATCATTATGTTAAAGGCTGTATCAAGAATTTCTCTTTTTTTTTAAACATCTTTCAGTAAGATTTAGCAAATAACTATTTCCTTGTTAAACTAAAGATCCATCAATCCTCTATAACAGTTCCCACATATATAATTAAGATAAAGGTAGCTGTCACTCTCCTAGTATCCCTTAACATCCTATATTTCCTCTTCTGTAACCTGCACTATAATTGCAGTCCTTGGTATGTCACTGTCATCATCGTTGTCATCATTACTATAAAATTATAAGCACAGGTATATTTTCCATGTTAATTGGAAAATTAACAGTAGGAGAACATCTAATGTAAGTTTCCCCTTATTTTTTGTGGAATAGAAAAATATTTGAAATTACTAAAAACTTAGAAATGGATTAAAAAGCCTGGCGTGATGGTACACATCTGCTATCTCAGCACTTGGGAGACTGAGATAGGAGGATCACCATGAGTTCAAGGCCAGCCTGGTATACATAGTGAATTCAAGGCCAGGCTGAGCTACATAGCAAGACCCTGTCTCAAAAAGGAAAAAAATAGGATTAAAAAAAAAAAAACAAAAATGGATCTAGGGCTGAGGATGTAGCTCAGTAGTAGAGCACTTACCCAATATCCTGAAGGCAATTCCCAGTGCAACAACAAAAAAAGATAAAATAGATCTAAAAATTTTGATTCTAATATGTTGTACTTAAATGGAGAAATTAACATTTTCTCTAAGTTAACAAAGTAATAAACTAAAAATTATGCACAAATAACTGTCTAGGTTAGGCTTTCTTTCTTTTTTCCAGTACTGGGAATCAAACTCAGGACCTTGTGCTTGACAGGAAGATGCTGGTGCCACTGACCTATATACCCAGCTAGCTAAGGCTTTCTTAAAAGTTTGATAAATATAAAAGTATAATGCCACAAAATTAAAATGCTTAACTAGGAAACAAAGTGCTATTACACTTTTGTTCCTATGTAATTATCTTTTTTTTTTTTTTTGCCTTTTTGAGACAGGGTTTCATTATGTGGTTTAGGCTGGTCTTGAACTCACTTTGTAACCCAGGCTGGCCTTGAACTTGCAGTAATCCTCCTGCTTCAGCCTCCCAAGTGTGGGGATTGCAGGTGTGCACCACCACACCCAGCTTTGTTCCTACATAATTAAATTTAAGGACACCTCATTTGTCCTGAGAAGTCTATGTATTAATTTACCTGTTCTTTATATTGATTTGAGAATTAGAAGGTTGTTTAATATCATCTCCATAAGTAGACCATGGTGCATAGAAAAGTGAAGAATCTATAGAACTTGCATATTCTGTTGATGAAGAAAGTGGAGTGTAGGTCTGTCTTAGATCTACATTGTCTTCGTTCTGAAATTTTAAAGATATGTTTGGGTATTATACATGGTAAAGCTTTCGTTCACTATACATTAATAAAACAGTAACAAATCCAAGGAAATAGCACAGGTATTAAGGATTAGGAGAATTACACTTAAATCCAGACTTAAAATACTTGAGCTTACTTTATACAAGGGATTAGCCAACTTTTCTGTAAAGGCCAGACAGTAAATATCCAGGCTTTGCTAAACATTAAGGTCCATCGAAATTTATCAGCTCTTTTCCTGGCACCAAAACCACCACAGACAATATATAAACAAATGGACACACCTTTTCAATAAAACTTTATTTATAAAACAGGCACCGGTCAGATCTGGCTCTGTTGCTGATAGCTGGTCTAAAATACCTGCTATTAACCAAGGAGGAGAAGAACCGGTTGGGAAGACCCAAGACAGAGGAAGAGGAAGAGGAGGAGGATCTGACAGAGGAGGAGAACCCCACAGGGAGGAGGAGCAGGCTGGAGAACCCAAGAGGAAGGGGGGACCATTAGTTCTAGGCCATGCTGCACTATATAGTGAGTTCAAGGCTAGCCTAAACTATACAGTGAGATCCTGTCTCAAGAAAAACAAAATAAATGAATAAAATACCTACAATTATTGTAGTTTTAGTATTTTCAATAGATGAGTAACGTGAATACTTGGACACTAGCACTGTTGTTTTAAATAAATCATATTAATGCTTCCAATCTTTGGGGTTTTTTGGCACTGGGAATCAACCTCAGGACCTTGCACTTGCCAGGGAGGTGCTATGCTGCTGAGCTATATCCCCGGCCCCCAATCTTTGTTCTAAAAAGTATATTTATATAAAATTTTTCAATTTTCAAAGAAATTCCACATACATTTTTGTATTTGGTCAGCACTGTAACATTGGTTATATCTCTTTTTAGAACTAGGAAACTTGCAATGCATTAACTATTGTTATTCTATTATTTTGTTATGAAATTCTGTTTTACCTTTTAAAAAAAAACCTAGGAAACTGAGACTACAAGTTACTGAACCAACACATGATAAAATTTAAATCAAAACTCAAAAGCTTCCTACTCCTAGCCAAGGGCCTTTTGTTCTTTTACAAAGTCTTTAATTTTCACCTAATTTTCTATTTCCAAGGGATAGTGTAAAATTGAATTGATATATAAAATATTATGCTAGCTTCAGAAATTTTAAAGATATTACTACAATTAGAAGAAAAATACTCTATGAACTCATTTTCCTTTTTCTTTTTTCATGACTTGAGTAAAGATATTTGAATTTTAAGATAATGAATTACAACCCTCCTTCCAAACAGGACTGAGATGCAGTGAAAACAGTATAAAATAGAAGGAATTTTCTTGGTGTGGGGGTACATGCCTGTAATCCCAGCACTCGGGAGGCTGAGGCAGGAGGATCGTTGCAAGTTCAAGACCAGCCTGGGCTACAAAGTGAGCTTAAAGCCAGCCTGAACTGCATAGTGAGACCCTGTCTCAAAAAAAAAAGACGGAATTTAACAAGCAGGGAGAGATTAAACTAGTTTAGACATTGTTTGTTCTAGAAAATATTTCCTTAAAGAATTCTGAAAGTTCATATTTGCAATTTTTAACTCTCAAAAAGGACCTATAAAACCCAAGATATGATAACTATAAATATCCTAACATAAGCACAATGAAAATAATATTTTCTTATACAGAAGAGATGTAATTTTGGGTATATATTGTTTTTTAGGGTGTGGTTTTGGTGATAAGGATTCAATCCCATACCCCATCCTTCACCTGCGCTCTACCACTAAGTTATACCTCCAGCACCTAAAAATGTGTGTTTTTTTAAGGTACTAGGGATCAAAGCCAGGTGTTCTGTACACTGAGTCTGTTAAGTTCCCCACACTCATCTTGAATTTACAATCCGCCTGCCTCAGCCTCCAGAATTGATGGGATTATAGGTGTGCACCACAAAACACAGCTTGTTTTATTTTTTAAAGACAGCCTTGGTATACTGCCCAAGCAACTTTGAACTCCTGGTTCAAATGATCCTCCTGTTTCAGCCTCCCAAGTACATAGGACTACACGCACATATCAATGCACTTGGCTAAAAATATTTTTTAAATGCTTTTATTTTCTTAATCAAAATTTATATAAGGAGAAAACCCATGTTTAGATCAAAGTATTTCTAAATGTATGTTCTCAGTAGACAATATTATTAGTGAGGTGTGGTGGTATACACCTGTAAGCACTCCAGAGGTTGAGGCAGAGGAATTGCCACAAATTCAAGGCCACTGTGGCCTAAACAGTAGATTTTTTTTTTTTTTTTTTTTTGCACAATATGTGCAAGGTCCTGGGTTTAATCCCCAGCACCACTTAAAACAAAGAGATATAAAAGTCAGGTGTATAAATGTCAGAAAAGTTAAAGTTAAACCCCCTTAAAGGATGGATTTAAACTCTGTGTTCTTGGATAAGAAGTCAATTGAAGTAACATGGTGAATTTAAACATAATTACACTTGAAATATCAAGATCCTTTTCAGTAAAAATATGAAAGCCTGGAAATGTGCACAATAACTGCAAAATGGGTTACTTATAGCATTGATATACTTAAAACAATTCCCAGAAATTAAATACAAGTAAATTTCAGTAGAAACATAAATACAGAGAACAGTGGAAGTCTGGTCTTGGGAATGAAAAGACCTGGGTTCCATTTAAGACTTGTCACTTAGGGCACAAACTGAGTTTTCTGAGCCTTAGTTTTTCAGTCTAAGGGGACATAATACTATGCAAGGTTGTAATGTATATTATACATAATCATGTATTTCAATATATTGTTATAGTTCAAAGTATAATATCAGCATTGATGTCTCGGTAAAATTATTTCAAATGAAATTACTTACATTACCCTACCTTTTCTTAATATGATTAATAAAAGTTAATGTCGAGATAAACGTAGCATTAATTAAAAGCATTGTTAAAGATGGGAGCAAAGGAATAAGGAAAATTTTTCCTTTAAATTAACAAATACATGTTTAAAATGAAAAATATTTTTGTTCTTAATAATTAAGTATGACGCAGCTTCCTTAACATTTCTGAGCTGGGCATAGTGGTACACACATGTCATCCCAGCACTCCGGGAGGCTGAGGCAGGAGCATTACAAGTATATGTGCTGCCTAAGAGAGCACAAGGAGCATTACAAGTTGGAGCCCGCGTGGGCAACTTAGTCAAACCCTGTCTCCAGTTAAGAAGTGAAAAAGGACTGGGGATTTAGCACAGTGCCAAGACCCTGGGTTCAAGCCCCAGTACCAAAACGAACACAAGAAAGTCAGATTTCTGACAACAGATACACACAGGGGAGATGGAAACTTACAACGCCCGGACTCCGAGTGGACGCCGGGCCCCCAGATCCAGGGCCTGGAGAGGGGCGCCGCCCACCCGCCCGTCCCGGGGTGCTCCCCTTAGGACTCTCGCCCTCAGCGCTCTGGTCCGGTCCCTGACGGGCCCTCTGCCCGCAGCGGGCCCCACCGCGCCAGGCCTGCGGGGCCCGGACACCGCGGGGCCCTCGCCTGTCGCCCTCCCCGCCACTCCCTGCTCCCGGTTGTGTCCCTCCCCGTCCTCCTGTCTGGTCGCCCTCGCCCTCCTCCTCCCCGTCCTCCGCGTCGGGTCGCCCTCGCCCTCCTCCTCCCCGTCCTCCCCGCCCTCCCCGGGTCGCCCTCCTCCTCCCCGCCCTCCCCGCCCTCCCCGTCTGGTCGCCCTCCTCCCCGTTGGGTCGCCCTCGCCCTCCTCCTCCCGGTCGGGTCGCCCTCC